ATATATATATGTATGTATATTGAATATATCTCCTTACTTGCATATCATGTTAATCTGTTTTGTCTTTGCTTTCTGTACGAGGTAACAAACTTTGTTAACTCGAGTAAGTAAGGAATAAAATGTATATTAAGATAATAAATTAAATGTAATTAAGATAATCAGAAAACATCAAGCTTTACTTGGATTCTAATAAGCTTGGTCTCCTATTTATTAATTTTTTGTTGTCACCTACATGGACTCTTGATCATTTGAATCAATACTTTTTATACTGAAATAGATCTAAAGTTCTTAAAGAATTCACTGCCTTTCTAGTCATCTGTGAAATTGTCCTTAAAATTACAAAAGGGCAATGTTTTGCACTGACGTTTTTCCCAAACCAAATTAGAATCACTGTCAATCTCATACCAAATTAGAATTATCACGATAAATGTTCATAAAGTTAATTTAATTTTATTTTGTTAAATACTTCTAATTCACAATAACTAACTCTTCCATTATGTCGGTCGGCTCTACTTCGGGATCACTTAACGTACGCTCATCCGTGTTTCTCCGTGAAAGTGAGATGCCACAAGGAGAGGTAGAAAGATGAAATCTGTGAGGTCCATCAAAGTCAGATGTGGTTTGAAGAACACGTTTTCGTTCAGTTTCTTTTCGAATATTAACAATACTCATATAAATGTATTTCTTGACTTGTGAACGTTCTAATGATGTGAAAAATATGAAAGTGAAACGAACAATATGAAATAAATAACATACGTCTGTTTAAAAACCAAAATTGTGACTTGTACATTAAAAAAGAGTCTCACTCTGTCTAAAACTGGATAGATTGTGGGTTTGTTTCAGCATATCTCTTAAACACCTGGATACATTTCGACCACATTTTGCACGAATATTTTCGAGTAACCGAGACAAATCACTTACAATTCAAAATGTTTATCTCAAATTTATGACCGCTTCTTTAAAGAAAATGGTTTAATACAAGCCGCAATACCTTATCTATTAGGTAATTTTGGAGCAAAAGTCCAGCATATAAACCTGCTTTACTTCAGTTGAGATCCAGCGAGAAATATAAGCGTCTAAGTGAGGGCGCTCAGGGTCTGTAGATACCGCACCCTAAGTAATGTCTTTAAATGAAGCAACAACAAACATTTTGGGAGCGTCAGTAACGCATCGCAAGATCATCTGTGTCGTAAGTAATGCCGTAGATGATTTACTTTAGTCTTTCATCTAGATAATACGCCAATCCTTACCTTAACCTTACAGATACTGGATAAAATAGCTGGTTAATAATCTGCTGCTGTAAAAATGTATATTTCTGACAAAATGTACACATGCTTGTTCGCCCATCAAATTTAAATAATCCATTCATGAAAAACAATTATGCAAGTTAAAAATGTAGAAATAAATTTTATTTACAAAGTTCATAGCTGAAAATCCCCGCGTTTCTATTTTCCATAATCGTCTATTAGACAGAAAAAGGAATTAATTCACAAGCGTACCCCACCCTTGTCTCCCCTGCCCTGCGCCACTCCGTCCAAAACCAACTTGCTCCTTCCCATCGTCCTTGCTCTACTCCTTCCCACCGGGCCCTGCCACCAGGGGCGCATCAAAGTATTCAGGCGCCCATGACCAGTATAGAATTTGCACCCCTGCCAGGATACTTCAAATTAGGGCTGTTATTTTTGTAACTCTAAATAGAACCCCATGTGAGTGAACCCATGGCACGTGCCAAGTCTGCCATACCGTAGATGCGCCTCTTCCTGCCACTACCCGACCTACGCTGCCATATTCATTACAATTACCGTTGCTAGTCTCATCGTTGCGATGGTCAGCAGTAAACAGATTCACTCCCAACACATTCGCGGCAAACGGTCAGTGACCCTTTTGATTTCCAATTACTCAAATCTGGAATGAAAGAAAATGCATTAAGTTGGAAATTACCTTCAATTTAAGAAATTTAAAAAACCTTTAGATATAAGAAACTTTCATGCATTATCTGACTTTTCGAAATATTAACAAAAATGAGAGTTCACGCTTAAATTTTGTTGTAAGGGTAGGGAAGGGAGGTAGGGATACATTTTTAAGAAATATCATGTTGACTTTTTATCTCGTTTTGAAGGCCATTAATTCTATTAAGGTCTGAATAAAACTGAAGATTTCTGTGTAAAACAAACATTCATCATTGTAGAAGAGAAACTAAGTTGAAAAAGATGTTGCCTAAGTTTCGCCAGACAAAATACAGAACTTTTCACTAAAAACCGCACGATATTGGTTTAGCTGTTCCAACAATCACCCCGAAAAAACATACAGACCGGCAGGCGGACAAAAATCATAAAACAATTGAATTGATTTGTGTATTGTCTAAAAAACTAGATGGTACAAAAAAGTAGTTTTGAAATCAGAGACAGAAATTCGAATTTCATTTACTCAGATGATAAACAATTGTGAAATTATTCATCATCTTTTAAACATTTTATTTTTATTTTTGTGTTTGTGTAAAACAGACTAAAATCAGAAAACCCCACCTCTCTACGTAAAGACACCTCAAATAAAGTGCACCAAAGTAGAATTACGATCATTCAAACAACAAATAAAAAATAAGACACGTATTAACAATTAGAGCTCTCTATCTTTAAGATTCTTTTTTCTGGAGATATTTGTTAAGAACGTATTTTCTTAATATCTTAACAAATAACTCCAGAAAAGACGTATCCAATTTCAACCAGTCTAAATACAATCCTAAAATATTCAAAATAATTGGCTCAGAAACTTTGTCAACAAAACCCTTAAGAAAATAACATTTACAAACAACTCCCCCTCCCCCGCCTTCATCCAGATCATTCCCAAATCCAACACATCGCTAACAGCCCTAATTACAATGTATCACACCCACACCATTTCCGGTCACCAAATCACTAGCATCATTAAAAGTCTCCCATTTAAAAAAACAACCCGGTCACGACAAGTAAATAACTTATTTAATACTTAAAAACTATATCGCTTATATCACCAATATATATTTAATACGTCCCTATGAAAGCGATATTGTCCATCTTCCTGAAAGTATTACTTAAATCTTCCCATCCCCAAACCGAACAAAACCCCCTGCTTTCAGATAAATACAGGACCATCAATTATCTCTCAATAAAGAAAATATTAGAAAAATAATTCTAACAGGATTAATTAATATCTTAAAAAAATAAAACTCATTCTACTCTATCAGTTCGATTTTAATAAATAAGTCACAGGAGGTTCTTGGTATTACCAATCGCGTCCACACTTCCTTCCAAACAAGCACCACTCAATAGCAGTATTCACAGATATCAATAAAAATTTCAACCTGTCTGACACAAAGAGCTAATTTACATCAATTATAATTTTATGTACTTTTTCACTCGTAACAGAAAATCTCATCTCAAACCCCATCAGTGCACAATCGTCACAGCAACATTCAGAAGTATCTCCAGGCTCTCCCCATAAATCTTTAACTTTTACCTCCAAATTGTCTCACAGAGGGCAATTTGCAAATGACTTCGCAATCTGTATATTCCATCTATCAATAAAATTCGAAACAAATGAGATTCAAATGTAACTTAACACAATAGATAAATAGTGCGCAAAATGGAAGATTAAAATAAATTCTACCACGTCCACTGCAAAAATATTCACTTTCGGAATGTATTTTCCCTCACCTCTTATGTAATCACTTTATTATCATCAAACAATATAACAATTTGCAATACCTAGCAATCAATAAGGTAATAAAATTACCTACACCAACTGAAAAGTAAATAACATTGTTTTTGTCTGCCAATAAAACGCGGATTCTGGCTACACAGAGTGTTAGAAAAAATAATTTTCTACATTTACAAACAAGATTCTTCCACTTTTTCAAAATGAGGGTCCCACAAGATACGTTTTTCTGGTGAGCCACTTTTCGCTGCAGCATTACAATAATTTATTCTTTACTTATTTAACATCACTTTTCAAGTGTCATATAGAGACCATGCCCCGGGCGGAATTTTAACACAAGATTCTTCAGCCTCAGCGACTTCGGCTATCCAAGAGGGCTACAATATTTTCTTTTTTATAATATTGAAGGTAAGGAGTCCCATAAATAATTTATAAACAATTGGCATAAACAATTCTTTATTTCATGAACCTCGTCATTTTATTCGCAACAGTTCCGGGAATACATAGCCCCATCATCAGACAAAAACGGGAGAGCTCGAAAATGTCGGGGCCTCATGAAATAAAGAATTATTTATGCCACTTTTCTGTCTATAAATTATTTATGGAACTCCTTACCTTCAAAAATGTAAAAAAGAAAATATTGCAGCCCTCTTGGATAGCCGAAGTCGCTCAGGCTGAAGAATCTTATGTACACGCTAATTCCAATTCTACAAGTTCAGAACTTTCTCTTTGCCACGTAAATAAGTACTTAGCGAGCAAGAAATTACCAGAACTTCGGGCACGGCGTTGTGTGTTATTTTCTTCGCGTCGCGCCGCCGCCGGCCGATAACCCTCTCGGCGCCGCCCCTTCCCCTCCCCCTCCCCCCGTAGGAGTGGGGGAGGGAGGGGGAAGGGAGGGAAGCTCGACCGCGATGACCCGCGCGGGCGGGCGGGGCGGCGTGCCAAACGGCGATAGCGCGCGGGAGGCGCTGGAGCGGCGCGGGCGCAGTGGCGCGGACATGGCCGAGAGAGCGACGTCGCCGCCGCCGCCGCCGCAGCGGCTGCTGAAGGCGCTGGTGCTGGTGATGGTGCTGTGGGGGGTTGGCGGCGCGGCTGCCACCGACGCCACCACCGCGGCGCCCCAGCCCCGCACCAGCGTGTGGGACGCGTACCCTGCCACCATGATCAGCGTGTGCCCGCACATCCCACGCAGGCCCATCGGCTTCCAACAGGTCATTGCGCGCGAGCGTCGAGGACAGTGTTTTTATTTTTGTTTTTGTACAAAAAATATCGCCTGGGTAGGAGGGTTGTACCGGTTTAAGTGGCTCAGGGCATGTCTCTGCAGTGCAGTGCCTCTGACCGAGAGGTTCTAGGGTTACTTTCACGACGTTGGCAGGATTTTCGACACTAGCTGCATAGCTAGGTCGAATTCAGCCGTTGTCTGGAGGAGAATTCTAGCGACCGGCTGCTCTTATTGGTAGTTTTCCGTGGTTTCTCCGATCAACGCCAGACGAATGCCGGAGCAGTACCTTATCAAAAGAGCCACGCACCTCGCGCGATCATTCCTTCATTTTCCTTGTTCTATACTCACCTCTTACATACATACACACACACACACACACACACACTAATATGCTCTACACTACCACATATGTCGTCCGTGCGTCCGTCCGTTTGTATGTCCGTCTGTCTTTCCGTCTGTCTGTCTTTCCGTCTGGCTTTCCGTCTGTCTGGCTTTCCATTTATCACCAGGTAAATGTCGGAGCAGTACCCTACAAACGGGCCACGGAGCGCGCGAGATCTTTCCTTCCTCTTCCTTGTCCTATCCTACCCCTTATACCCACTTATACTAACATGCACTACACTACCACACATATCGCGATACCGGACGAGGGGAGAGGTTGGCTCGGCTGGGGAGATGCCACGCTGGTGGGAGATACCTGGTTGGGGAAAACCCCCGCAAGCCTACGGGTACGTCGGCGCTAGATCTCGCCAACCTGCTGGGAAATATAACTATCACCTCTAGCAATAGAACATGCACTACAGTTACTGGATGAAAGACATCAGTTGATGGGCCCGGAATCAGTAATCCACCGATCAAAGGAGAGTCGTGGTCTACTGGAAAGCATGTTCGCAGAGGTGGCGTCTGCAACAGCTGTAGTCATCATGAAGAGCAGAGTGGTCGCGGGGGAAGAATCATCTCGGCTGCCCAGTGAGGCATCCAGTTGAGTCATCTACTTGTTCTCCAAGAGGATTCGTCGCCCACGATCATTTCGTCAGTGTCTGCTGCGCTTACAGATGACGTGTCTGGAAACATGCTTTCCAACGTGCCAAGGCCCTACAACTTGCAAAATAATTATTTTTTTATTGTGTCACTTACCAAGAAGGCTTATCCTTTTTATAATTTTTGTAATTTTGATACATGTATAATCTGAAAAATAATGTGTCCCTTACTCTTCTATTGTACGATGTTTTCTGGACGCGTATGTTCTCTTCATGTTCTTTTTATGCTTTCTCTCCTGAATCTGTATCAATTCTGAATGTGTATTCTTGTGTTTTCTTGTGTGTTTCTGGAGATAATTACGCTCTTTAAGCTTCTTTGTAATTTTCTACTTGATATGTTCCAAATCCCCTGTAGGACTTTCTTGTGCTTTGCTTCTTGAATTTGCAAATGTGCTCTTCGGGCTTTTCTTGTGTTGTGCTACGGGAATTCGCAGCCAGCATGGACTTCGCATCTATTTACCTCTTTTGAAATTATGTCGGTTTCGCTACACTCAAGCGTGTTTCTATATACTTCCACACTCCTTAGGCTTCTTGTGTGCTTTGTTACTTTGATATGCTTTTATATCCCTTATACATATATTATATTTTCTTGCGCCCCGCCCCCCCCTGTCCGTCGAAAATCAAAACGTTATGGATCAACGCACACACACTGCTTGTTTTCTCTTGTGTTTGCTTTAAAAACTATTTCTCCCTGGCTTTACCCGACTGCAAAACAATGCAGTGGCATGTTTGTTCCAATTTACCTTTTTAGTTACTTCACAAATGCAATGAAACATCTACTGTAATAATACTTAAGATATGGAGAGCCATTTTTAAAATGTCAATATTTTCAAGTGTAAGTTATATCCCAGAGATCGCTTTGTTGTTATGGTTTACTATATTTGGTTATTATTTACTATTTTCATCTATCAGATATTGAATACGGTAGTTAATCCTTGCTGGACTACGAATTTTGTGATACATTTGTACCAAGTTAGGTCAAAAACTTGCACTACTGATTATTGTAGTACTTTCTTTGCTGCTTTTATTCTAGCATTGAAACTATTATAAGTTAGCGTATATTTATTCAACTGAAATAACTAAGGATGTTTGAATATTTTTTCATAATCATCTATTATACAGGAAACGTAATGAATAATTCATGGGTGCCCTATTCTATCTGTAGTGTAAAATAGAAGTAACAACATCGTTCCGCCCCACCCAACATTTATTGTCGCGAAATATATATTTCAATTAATTATAATAAAATAAGAGGTTGGACCAAAGGAGGATTTTGAAACCACCACCAAATTTAATTTATTATTATGCTATAATACAAATATTTATTATTATTTAAACCTTAACAAGAACAGCATAGCATAAATGCCAAATTTTCATTGCCATAGTTTGAAAACCACGGACACAAAATGACTCATCTTGGTTCAATGTTCTACTCGTGTGAAATTAAATTATTGATTGTCATTGTTTCTTAAAATTATGAGTATTGAAATGATATTCAAATAGAGAGGAAAAAATTTAAAAGTGAAGACAAGAAAACAAATTCTTCTAAAATTACTTGAGTGGTGTCTCCAATCTATACCAGGAGGAGTACCCTAACAAACGGACCACGGGGCGCGCATGATCTATCCTCCCTCTTCCTTGTCCTATTCTCACCCCTTTCACTCACACATGCACTACACTACCGCACATGTTTCGAGTACAATCGGGAGATCAGAGCTTATCTCTGCTGTATGGAGGCACCTGGATGGGGAAAACTCCGCAAGTCGACGTGTATGGGTGGTCTGGGCTGTCCGGGTGACGCCGCGTCGAAGGCTGAGTTGCCGACGTTTCGACCATCCTGTCGTGGTCTTCCTCAGGGCTGGTATGCCAGCCCTGAGCCAGGTATCGCATCGCCCAGATCACCCACATGACTCTGGTCGCGGAAGCCTACGACTTCAGTCGACGTGTATGTCGGCGCCGGATTTCGCTATCCAGCGAGGAAAGAATACCGCCACCTCCGGTGATAAAAATAAACTACACTTACAGTTATGGTGACCATAGCACTTGATGCGCCTGGAAACACGAAATATTGAATGACTCAATCAAAAACGTTTGTGCCACTAAGCAAATTTTATTATATATTTTTTAAATATTTCCGTATGATCGTCTCAGCCTCTAATGTTTCTTTTTTTATTGCAGTTGAACGGCCAATGGTTTGTGTTAGAGAAAGGCGGTCTCTCCAGACCCCAGAATTTGTGTGAAATGGACTTCCAAGTAACAGAAGGGCAAAACTTGACACTCGACATTTCTCTACGCGCGTACAGCGACAGACAGCTGGAGAATGCATACAACAGCCACTGGATTATGAGCGAAGATAACGTTTGGAGAGATAATGGTATGTATTATTCTGAAAAGTTAAAGATATTTGTTCAACATAAAAAGTGATTTGTTATAAATAATCGTATACACGATGTGGTGTTAAAACTTCAAATTAATATTTACGTTTCTACGAGTCAACACAGGCAGTCTTTGGAATTATAATTAAAATATATTCTTATAAGATACTGTGAAGAGTTCAATAATCGTATTCGCTTATGCTTATGCCTTTGATACCAAGCGCTGTTTATCATAATATAAATATTACGGTGTATCATTTTTTATGATCGCGTGATAATTTTGCTCTTCGTGAAGTTAAAGTTCCGTAAAATTTTAATAAAACAATTCATTCATTATTACAGTAAAATCAATTCTAAAGACGTACTTTAAATAGAATTAATACAAAATATCAATAATCAGGCGTTTTGCCGGTCAGGTAGCCGATATCGTTAGGGCAGTAGTGCCGTAGCGGTCTCAGACCAGAAGACGGCCGGTTCGGGCATAAGTGTGTTTGTGTACGTCTGTATGTGTGTGTGCGTGTGTGTATGTGTGTGTTGTCATTTCACCTCTCACTATCATAATTTCATCGTTCATACCCCTAGGACAAACAACCTTGGGGGGCGGGGTAAAAATTAGAATTTAGCTTAAGTGCTGAAAGGTACCCCCCCCCCAGAAAGGTACTAACACCTGAGGAAGCAGGATGCACGCGTGGTCCCAGTTTCCCTATAGGCAAAAAAACAAAAACAGAAGCCTTTTGCTCAGACTTCAGTATTTTAATTTAATTCAATAATATAAATAATAATTAATAATTAATATAAATATTTGATTCCGCACTTCTTAAAAAAATAAAATGATCTATATAATGCAGGTTTAATGCTTTAATATTCACATTAACATGAATATTTATTAAATATTGTTTAAAAGTAGTGTCTTATAAAGTTATAAGACGCTTTTAAGTTATAGGATATTTTAATAACGTCTTTATAATAAAACATAAGTTTAAAGAACTAATTGCACAATATAGTGTTATGCGATGGCTGCTCATAGATTCAATAGTTGCCAATTGAAAAAGGGCTATGTGTAACATAACTCCAGAGTGAAGTGTTCTAACGGCGGTGTGTGGGCGCCCCGCGCAGAGTCGCAGATGTCCCTGTTCGTGGGCTACTCGACGGGGCGGTCGCTGCTGCTGCTGTGCGCGGTGGACTCGCCCGACGCGACGCAGGACGGCTACTCGCTGGCGCTGTCGCGCGAGCCCCACGCGCGGCCCTCGGTGCTGGACGCCGCGCGCCTGCCCGGCCGCGTCGCCGCCACCGACCGCTCCCACTGCCCCGAGCCCTGAGCCGAACCACTGGCGGCTGTTACCATTGCACTTGCATTTGATCGTAGAGTCCGTTGACGTTTAATCATACCTTACATTGTCATCCAGTAGCGAGCTTAAACGTCACCACTGTAGGGACTTTTAAGCTCCCAATTGGATGACACCGTAACAGCTGATTTACGTCAACTACTCTATGTTTAAATCGAGGTATAGGGAGTTTTTATGAGGCAAAGCGTTATATAGAGGAGTTGCTCTACGAAGGGACCAGTCGGGTAACAAATAAACGTCATATAAGACGATGGCACTGCAAGAGATAGTGATGAGTAAACGAAACCAACGACGAATTGAGTGCATGGGTTTAACCTGTAGTTACGTTGCTAGCAGTAGCTTTCAAAGCAGTCCATTCTTATAGTAATCTCTCCATAGCAATATCAATCTTCTGCGCATGCGCAGTTCGAGTTTCACATCACTTGAGCATGTGCTCACGTGCAGAAGGTAGATGTTGCAGTCGATTGCTGCATGCTATCTGGGCGAAAACTCCCTACTACGGAAGCGACATGTCGATGTCGATGTTTCAAAACATCGATGTTGGCATAAAATTATTGATGTATTTAACATTGATTTCTTTGAAGCAGTTTTTACACCGTTGTTTTGTATTCAAGGTTTTTATGAGGTATATATTTTTTTAATGAAAAAGTCAAACGCAAAAGAATTCTGTACTAATTTTCAGATATCCATAAATTGACTAGTCATCAAGTAAATAATGTTGAAAAAAAATAAAATCGAGATTCTCTCAGTTAACATTCTCTGTAATTTCTGTGTTATCAAATCATATAATCCAAGTTTTGTTAATTATCCTGATGATTTGTTGACTTTGTTTTGTCAGTTAATTCTCAATTAAATATTAATAAAAGACCACTATAAAATGTAGTTCCCCCCCTGTCTCGTGAACTTGAATTGTTACTAATCAAGTTATAAAAATATCGATGTTTAATAACATCAGAGATTTTGGGACGATGTTTTATTAACACTATGTTTTAATTTTGAGCATCAGAAACATCATCATAGAAACATCGATGAGATTTAGCGACATCGTATCCCTAGCCGTCATTCAATATTACGGACTTCAAGGCAGGACTTAGCGTTTAACAATCGACTGCAGTATCTCGAACACTCTTCTCTACTAGGGAGTAAGCACAGGGTATCGCTACAGCAATCGACAGCCAAATCAATATTTTACGCAGTTGCAGATCGAGTTTCATATCATTTTTGAGCCTCTGCTCATGTGCAGAGGATCGATATTGCTGTCCTCCTATGACTTTTGAGGTTTGCGCATGAGCAACTCGAAATTCGCAAGCACCGAAGGTCGATACTGCGTTCGATTGCGTACGCTACGCTGTGTTTATAAGTCTATTATTTTGAAATCGATAGCATCAAAACGAAACATTGATACTTCAATATTATTGAAACTTTAGAATTGATTCTTTTAATAGCAATTGGTATCGATGCACGACATAAAGTTCAAGGAATAACATGCCATTTGACATTCAAAAAGTGAGTGTTTTCAGTAAGTGTTGTTTGAGAGTGTTTTCAATAAAATGTTTCAACTCGGATTTACTTTCTTGAACAAGTATTTTATATTTTACTCAATTAAGAGATGTTCTTCTAACAATACTCAAGTGTAGTAGTATGATGTGGCCGAATATTGATTGAAACAATCGATTTAAAATGCTACGCCAATAATCTAGTTGCTTCTACACCAATACCAATTCTGCAGCTTGTGCCATATTATCAATACTACAATATTGATATTGTTGTTAATACTATCGAAAAGAAAGGATCAGTATATCTCTCCAAATAACGTAAGATAGCAACATCTCCAGTGGTTGGGTAATGTTTGCGTTGACACTCATTAACTTTCACTTAACAAACGCCAGTGTAATACTCAGAATTATCTTTAAAAGTAGGGGATGATAAACAAGTCAATGTTTGACATTAAAATTTTAACGCTAAACCGACAAAGATTTATTTACGAAACATTTCGAGAAATACAATTACACAATTAATATACAATAGACATAAATACCATATTATTATTTATTTCCGTAATAGTTTGAACTGTACATATAAAATTATTCACTTAACATTACAAAATCTCATGAATTAATCGCACTTTTTAATTTAGTGAGGGTTAAGCTTCCAGGCCCTCTCTTTAGCTAAGTGTCTGTACGATGCAGCAACTAAATACTGTATTTGCAGCTTTGATTCATGTAATGGACGTGACAATGGACATAATACATGACAAAGTAATTCAAAACTTACATGTTTGCTCATTTCTGTAGGTTATGTGATGAACATTGTGTAGGAGAAGTGTATTTTTCAACAATATAGTGATCACTATATTAGAACTATTTGAAACAATATGTTTGCTTTCAGACGGAGAAGGTTTCCACAACAGTAATAAAAGCAAACCTTTTAGAGAGATTTGATGCTAAGTGTACATCATTTTTAAAACTAATTAATATATTATTATTTTAAAAATATAAATTAAAGTTAATATTAATGAAAATTCTTACGGATTTTCATCTTTAAAAAAATTACTTTATCAAATGCCCAGATTTTAAGTTCTACATTTATTAAACTTTAGAAAGGGGGAGTAGAAATGGAATGTTGATATCAAAGGTGCATCTGTGTTACGAATTGTTACAAAGAAGGGAGAGGATGATAAAAGGCAAATGTTTGCGAACCTATTTTCTGAATTACCTCATATGAATCACTTTGCCGCTTAAGGAAATGTCTCATGATCATACCCTTATGAAACCACCTCACATGGACTCTGACGCAGTACGCAGATAACCACTGACTCATGTTTCTCAATTCAATACAATTATGCCAAATTCAACTTTGATTTTAAGTTGTAATGCAGTAAAAGAAATTTACAGTGTAGAGTTATTTAGTTTCCTAGAATTTCTGCTTCTGTACCTGTTTGCAACTTGTATTACTAAATTCTAATATAATATTTTCACATATAATCTCATCCTTTGTTTATTAATTTTCCATAATATTCCTATACACATAACTAATGAATTATTATACATATACGTATACTCTAAATAAATGTCCTGAAAAAATAAGGATGCCGCATTATGACGTTACGCTAAATGTCTCTAAAGGTTATCATAATTCTAGGTTTTTATGTCAATGAACTGCTTAAATAAACAACACATTTAATCTTCCTAATAGCCGCGTTTGATAAAACACATAGTTACAAAATTCATTCTCTTCCTGATCTGACATCTGACCTTCTTGAATGACCTTAATAGTCACTAATATAAAAAAGGTTGAAACAATAAAATTCAGGAGAAAATTTTAACTTAGTAGAAAATGTATTCATGAAATCACGGGTTAGGTACAAGAATGGGCAGAAATCGCAACATACGTAAATTAATAATATTACGTTATTTTTGGTAAGTTTGCCGTAAAAATTATTCGCTTTAGATACTCGTATTTAGAAACCTTTCATAAAAATGTGTATTTTATTTCAGATACAACTTCAAACTGTTTTTTAAAAGTTTGAGGGGGATTGATATGAAAATTACATATAATAGCTGAAACACGCAATTGAATCACAAATACTAATAGAACAATGCTTGTAACCACAAAGTCGTCTTTTGTCATACATGTGCCCTACATTCCCCACATACCATGTGTAATGTATCCTCTTTAAAACTAAATAAAGATAGGAATAACAATTGAATACAATATAAAAAATAATACTCACTTTAGAAGTTGAATAATTTAATCTAAATGAAATATTTTGAATCAGGGCTTTATATCACCGCCATCACATGCTAGTTGGACATCATACTCATGCTGATGGACTGCGATAAGATTTTTGTTCAAATAGAAGAAATATTTTCGAAACACATTCATTTGATTTATTCGCAATCATAAGCAGTCATTCGGATAACATTTAAAAAACAACTTACGTTCATATTTAGAATCGCATTTCCGTCATTTTGAAAATTCGTAAATTGTACTGTTTAATTTGCTTTTGTTAGGTAGTTAACTTATTTTTTTACACTTCAATAGAATATTTTATTAGTTAATGTAAGCCTGTATTAAACATATTTGCCTGCCTGTATTAAACATACGTTCATTTTAGATCAGAGGTGGGACGCTTGAATTACTCTTATATTCTTTCTGAAGATCTGTTCCTATTATTAAAACTGACTTTTTTTGGTATGTCATTAAACATTTGTGAAAATAAAAATGACATCCACTCAAAGTTTCATTTAATAGGATATTAGTCAGCTCTGTTAAAAGCAATAACACAATTTGCGAATACAGAGTAAGTGCGGTAGCTAATTGTCTGCACTACGCACGAAATTGTTTTAATGAAATTCCTGTACATCCCTACTCAGTATTTGAGTGAAACTCCGAGAGTGTGTATGTTTTAATGTGCAGTTCCGTCCCTCACTGTTATAACACCTCCCGTGAACCAATTGAGACGCAAGAGGTGTCATTAAACGCGTCTTGGTTTCCTGATGCTCCTGTTTAGCAGTATTTTTCTCTTGCCCTGTGTTTCCATTACTCTTTTTTGAATCTATTTCACTATACTTATAAACTTTTCTAATTGAATCATGACATATTGAACTCTCTTTAAACAGAGTTCTTCCATATTTGTAGCATCTACGTCTCCTCAATATTAAGCTGAGGATCTTGTCAGTTGGTCCGAATAAAAATTATAGTTCCTAATATTCCAGTTACTGAATCTGAGTGGTCGTAACTGCAATGAATGGGCTGATAATTGGTGACAATGATGATAGTATGATGTGAATAATGTTGGAGCAATAGTATACCGAGAGTCAAAGGAATTTGGAAAATCTCAAGAATACAACAAGAAACAAGGGGAATCCAGAAAGAATTTAAAGGGAAGGTAGGATTCAGTTCTATTTACTCTAAAATTAAACTTGAAATACTAAAATAAATAAAAAGTGAGCCTGAAACAAAATATAATTGATATTTCTAATAGAAATATTAATACTTTGAATGTGATGTAATAACATCAATACGTGGTAATTATTTTGAGAAAATTGAATAAAATCACCAACAAATAGTTTAGAGGGAGAAACGTGACCCCTAACCTGCCCTCCCCGTATACGCCACTGTCATGAACTCTCTTTGTGCCCAACAAAGTTTACAAGGAAAGGCCGGGTTGGAACCCTGCTATCCGGAGGAGGACAAGGAAGGGGATTGCAATGTTGTAAGTTGCTTCGGTCGGTCCGATATCTCGGCGGTACGACTAATCGGAACCAGCAGTTGAAGGAGGTAATCCAGATGCTTGTGCTCCTAGTCCGTAGGCAGTTCCTCCCACAGTAACGACTTTCAATTAGA